TAATCGTAATCTTACTAGGATTGGCAGAAAGCCCAGAAGCAATTTGCAGGAAGCTGATAAGATAAGCAAGACAAGACACGAAGGTATGTGAATGAAGTTGTTCCCTGCAAATTGTTTCAGTCAGCGTTCCTCCTTAAATAGGCTAAGGGAGTGGCCAATTAGCCCCAAGCCTTACTCTCGAGGAGACCTCCTCCTGAGGAGCCACTCTTGCCTTTTGGCAGCTCTGTGCGCCCGTGCATTGAGAAGAGGCTTCTCCTCTTCACTTAAAGGAGCTTCTGGAGGTTCTGAAGGCCCTGGCTGAATCCCTGCGTCTGGCATCACATCTTCTCCAGCCTCCTCATTGTCTGACTTGAGTGCCAGCTGCACAGGCTACTGGAGCAGCACCACACCAGCCTCCTCGCTGTCTGAATCAGCTACTAGCTGCACAGGCCGCTGATGGGCTGCAACACTAACTGGGGCTGTCTGTCAATTCCTAGACCATGTATCAATCGAATCCCTTTTCAAGGCAACCCTGAGATTGAGTCCTCTGGCATGGGGATCAATCAGAACAGAGCTGGAAGGAACCTCGGAGATCTTCTAGTTCAGCCCCCTGCTCAAGCAGGAGATCCTACCATTTCAGGGAAATGATTGTCCAGTCTCTTTTTAAAAACCTCCAGTGATGAAGCACCCACAATTTCTGAAGTCAAGCTGTTCCACTGGTTAATTGTCCTCATTGTTAGGAAGTTTCTCCTCAGTTCCAGGTTGCTTCTCTCCTTGATTAGCTTCCATTCATAGTTTCTTGTCCTGCCCTTGGGTGCTTTGGAAAATAAATTGACCCCCTCTTCTTTGTGGCAGCCTCTTAAATACTGGAATATTGCTATCATGTCACCCCTAGTCCGTCTTTTCTCTAGACTAGCCAAACCCAAATCCTGCAGCCGTTCTTGTTGCTTTTTTATCCTTTTAATTATTAAGACATCAGGTAGCTTCTTTTGTATGTCCAGAGTAACATCTTTTTCCATGAAGTCTGTTAGGAAATGATAATTTACTCACTTGTTGGGTTGGCAATATATAAACCTCAATATAGCTTTATTGCTGTATTGCATCATACTGTGTCCTGATTGGTTAGCTCTGTAGCCAGTGTCCTTAAGAGGGAGCTTGAAACCTGGTTAGTCTCTCTCTCTGCTACTCTCTGCTGATCTTTGCTGACCATTATTGATCGTTACTACTATTTGCTGTGTTTGCTACTGTTTGCAACTGTTTATTGTGTATGACTACAACGACTGGTAAGAAGACGTTGTTATTGGAATATCCCTGGGCTATTGTAGAGATTCTCAGTCGTCCAGGTCATGGTTGTCCCAAAGGTGTTTTTTCAGGAGGCAACTGGACTTGCTTGAAGACATTTCACTCCTCATCCAAGAAGCTTCTTCAGCTCTGACAGGATAGTGGGGTCACAGGAACCAGCAGCATTACTCAGGTGACCCTGAGGACACAGATGTTTTAGTCTCCAGGCCTTTAATCATCTTAGCTGCTCTTCTTTGCACTTTTTCCAAAGCCTCGACATATATATATATATATATTTTGTAAATCTGGTGTCCAAAACTGGATGCAAGTATTCCAGGTGTGGCCTTACTAAAGCTTTATATAGCGGTGCTCATACTTCACGTGATTTTTGATTTCTATGCCTCTTGTTTATACAACCCAGGATCGTATTAGCTTTTTTTTTTTTTTGGGCTGCAGATCACGGAAAGGTTTTTGAAAAAACGGGGGAGGGGGGCCTCAACTCTGCTTGTTTTTGTCCATAAAGTGTAGATTGCAGCAAAGTTGCTTGGTGCTGTTTCCCTGTGGCTCATAAGAGAGGGAGGGAGGGAGACCTCGGTGGTGTTCTGTCTTCATCTTGGAAGACACCGCAATAATACCAATTGCTGGGTCTTCTAAGAGGAGGCTGGAGGGCCAGATTGCTTCTGCAGATCCCAGGAGCCAGCCTGCGAGAGATAAAGATCGGCTGTCTCCTTTTATCAGCGCCGTGTCGGCTCCCAAACTCGAACGGCAGCAGCTCTCAAGGTTGCGTGTCTGGAGTTCCTGATGAATTGCTGTCGTTCACTGGGGTGCAAAGGGGGGGGGGGGGGGGGGGGGGGGGGTCCTTCTCTCCTTCTCAGGGATGTCAACTTTCTTTGGTCCCTGCTGCAAATATGGACGACGGCTTGAAGGGCAGCCTCTTTCCTTCTGGACCCCTTTCTTCCCACTTGCAATTGAGGATAATTCAAATTATCCACAATCTGGCCAATTACAGGTTGTCCTTGACTTACAATGGTTCATTTAGTGACCATTTGAAGTTACAGAGGCATTGGGGGGGGGGGAAAGCGACTTATGACTGTTTTTCACACGACGGAAGCGACATCCCTGTGGTCACCTGATCAAAATTGAAACGCTGGGCAACTGACTCGTATTTATGACGGTTGCAGCATCCCAGGGTCACCTGATCCCCTTTTGCCACTTTCTGACGATCAGAGTCAATGGGGAAGCCATTAAATTCACTGAACAGCTGTGTTAAGTGGTTCACTTTAGCACCTGCAGTGGTTCATGTAATAGTTGTGGCAACAACAGTCGTAAAATGGAGGAAAACAATCACTTAACAAATGTCTCACTTAGCAACAGAAATTTTGGGCTCAGTTGTGGTTGTAAGTCGAGGACTACCTGTAGCTGTTTGGGTTTAGCAACAGAAAAAGCGTTCCAAAGTCTAAGGAAGAGCCTTGGCTTGCTGGATCAGATCCCACCAGTGGTGGGACTTGAATAACTTAACAACCGGTTCTCTGACTGGGTAGGCGTGGCCGGTTGGTCATGTGACTGGGCAGGTGACGTCACTCATCACACCCAGCCCCGCCTCCCAGCCACTCGTCTCAAAGGCAGAGGTAGGATTCAATTGGTTGGGGCTAATTCCACCACTGGCTGGCCCAACCCATTTTTCGGCCTGTTTTGGGGGACGTTTTTCGGGCCGAAACAGGCCAAAAAATGAGTGGGGGCGGGGCCAGCCAGTGGTGGGATTTGCTGGTTCGCCAAACTGCGCAGAATCTTAACTATCGGTTCGCTTGAACCAGTGTGAACCGGCAGCAGCCGACCTCTGGATCCCACCCAACTCATGATTCCCTTTTTTTTGTAAATTTGTTTGAGGTTATATACTGTAATAAAGTGTGTGTCGTTGTGGTCCTTTCAGCAGAAATTTCATTATTGGGCAAAATAACATCACCATTTGAAACACCACCACACACCCCTCTCCTTCACACTGAGGTTCCCTCGCCTGGTAGAGAAACCTCGGCAAGAAAACAACTTGGTTGTTTTGGTAGTACAGTGGAGCCCTGGTAGTACAGTGGTCTAAAGCACCTTGTTATTAAGACCAGCTGCCTGCAATTACTGCAGGTTCGAATCTTGCCAGGCTCAAGGTTGACTCAGCCTTCCATCCTTTCTAAGGTAGGTAAATTGAGGACCCAGTTGTGGGGGCAATAAGCTGACTTTGTATAAATATACAAAAGGATGAAGGCTATTGCTTAGCACATTGTAAGCTGAGTCTCCGGAGAAGGGCGGCATATAAATCAAATAAAAAGGAAAAAAAAAAAAAAGCTCAGAGGGCACCAAGAACCCAAGAGTTCAACCCTGAATGTCTATGGAGATTCTCAGTCATCCAGGTCATGGTTGTTCCAAAGGTGCTTTTTCAAGAGGCAGCTGGACTTTCTAGTTTTTCTTTGAAGACGTTTCACTTCTCGTGCAAGAAGCTGAAGAGGGGGGGCGGGGGGCGTGTGCCCATACCCATAATTCTAAGCACCCCACCACCTGCTCACCCCGCTTCTGGCACGCGATGGCCCGGCAAGCCTGTTTTTCTCTCTTACCTGTCTCCAGAGCCTTTCTAGCAGTCTGGGGAGGGCAAAAACAGCCTTCCCTACCCCTCCGGAGGCCCTCCAGAGGCCAGAAACAGCCCCTTTGCCAACTTCTGGTGGGACCTGAAGGCCCGTTTTTTGCTGTCCCCAGCCTCCAGAGCCTCTCTAGGAGTCTGGGGAGCATGAAAACGGCCTTCCCCACCCACCCCCTGGAGGTCCTCCGGAAGCTGAAAACGGCCTGTTTGCCAACTTCTGGTCCCAGTGCTTTACTCTAAGCGGTTTACAGAGTCAGCATATCGTCGCCCAACAATCTGGGTCCTCATTTTACCCACCTCGGAAGGATGGAAGGCTGAGTCAACCTTGAGCCTGGTGAGATTCGAACTGCCAAATTGCAGGCAGCTGGCAGTCAGCAGAATTAGCCTGCAGTACTGTACTGCACTTCAACCACTGCGCCACCATGGCATGAGGCTACCTAGTTTTTTTTTTGTTTTTTGTTTAATTTGATTTATATGCCGCCCTTCTCCGGAGACTCAGGGCGGCTTACAATGCGTTAAGCAATAGCCTTCGTACTTTTGTATATTTTATACAAAGTCAGCTTATTGCCCCCACAAACTGGGTCCTCATTTCACCTACCTTAGAAAGGATGGAAGGCTGAGTCAACCTTGAGCCTTGGAGAGATTCGAACCAGCAGAAATTGCAGGCAGCTGTGTTAATAACAGGGTGCACTAAACCACTGTACTATCAAGGCTCTAGTTAGGGTAATGAAACATTTGTAAGAAAAGAAGCAAGCTCAGAGAGCACCAAGGACCCCCTCATTAGCCTGGTCTGTTTTGTCCAGTCTCACTTATCCTGTGAGCTCATATTCTGAAGAAAGCCTTCTTGGTAAAACCCATTTGTGACTTTTCCTCCTGGTTAATCTTTCCTTTCCTGAATTCTAAAAGCCAGCCGTCCATTAAGAGATGATCCATTCCTTAGTGTCACCATTTTGTCAAGAGCTACTTAGAGATCACTTGTTCCTTTCACCAGGCTTCATTGTAAAACATGTTCGTAGCTTTGACTTCAGGCTCCCTTCGGCAAAGCTCAGCTGAAGCATCTCTACGGAGGCTTAACCCTTTGATGCCTCTCTTCTTCTTCTCTTCCTGTCTTCCACAGGGTTCGGAGGAGAGTTACCTGGAGAGAACAGAGCGCTTATATCTCCAGATGTGCTCAACGAGAGAAAAGGTGAGGCATCCTGGCATCCACCCTCCTGCCTGCAACCCCACAGAAGTGTCGGGACCCAGTGCAAACCTGCTTCGCAATACAAGTAGTCCTCAATTTATGACCAGTCGCTTAGCAACTGGTCAAAGGTCTCCCCGGGAATAGTGACAACAGATCTGGATCACGCACGCGCAGAAGTCACATGACTGCATTGCAGGCACTCTCAGCGATCAGCTGTTCGCAGTGTCCCGCAACTAGGTGTCCAACTTTCGTGGCCTTTTTGCTGAAATTTGTTGTCTGCAAAAACCCAGTCCTGCAGATTTCATTTAATGACCGCCACGCAAAGATTGCAGCATTGGGTCAGTCATTGGGAGCAACCTGATTTACAACCCTAATGGGCAGTCTCCATTACGGTTGTAAGTTGAGGACTACTTGTTATCTGTGTCACGAAAGAGCACTCAAGTACATTGGGAAAAGTCATTCGTTTTAACCTACGCTTTGGCCTCAGCAGGTTGGGACCTGGGTAGGTGGCTGCAGAATTTCCTCACCTGCTTTGTTGCCCTTACAGATCCCAAAACACCTGAGGTGAGAAAAGTCATAAAATGGAACAAACTCACTTCAGAAATTTCTCATTTAGCAACATACATTTTGGGGTCAATTGTGGTCAGAAGTTGAGAGCTACCTTTATAAACAATTGCTTTTTCTTCTTAAAAATCTGGTAATTTTCTTGGCCTTAAAATAGCAAAATTGACCCAATTCTTCCAGATCTTAATCCTACCGCTGGTAAGTCACGCCTTTTCCATCTCATTAACTTTAAGATGGGTGGACTTCAAAGCCCAGAATTCCCTAGAATTTTGAGAATTGAAGTCTACCCATCTTAATGTTGCTGAGATGCAGAAAGACCAAGGTAGGTGGTAGGCAGGTCCAGGGATGGGCTGCTGGGGGTTTGCAGGGGTTTGGGAGAACCTCTAGCTAAGATTCTGTGCAGTTCGGAGAACCCCCAAATCCCACTCCTGGCTGGCCACCCCCACCCCAATCCGCCCCTTCCAGGAGTCCCCACGTGGTCTGTTTTGGGTTCAGGAAAGTGCAGGGCGCGCACGGAGGCTCGGGAAGGCCAGAAACAGGCCTGTTACCAGCCTCCAAAGGGCCTCCAGAACCTGGGGAGGCCATTTTTGCCCTCCTGGAGGCTCGATGAAAGCCTCCAGAGCCCAGGGAGGGCAAAATTGCCCCCCCTGCCATGCCCACTATGGCCACGCCCACCCAGCAACCAAGCAGAGAACCCCTTGCTAAAATTTTTGAAACCCACCCCTGAGTAGGTTCCCCCATGTCCCCTTTCTAGATTCTTATGGTTTGTTCTCTCGTCATAGAATTTGATGGGCGACCAAGAGCAACTGAAAATTCAGGTGACAGAACTGGAGGAGGAAGTCAACACCCTGCGGAAGATCAACAAGAATCTCTTCGACTTCTCCAGCTCTATCATCACCTCACCCAAATAGAACAGCTTCTGAAGCCCAGCTAGAGGTGGAATCTTGGACACAGCCATTTCCTCCATGGCAATGTTTGATGGGAACTTATACGGTTGCAGAGATACCCTCTCGTAACCATGTCTAACTTCAGGGCTGGACATGGAAGTCTCTAGCATCTAGGTGTTTTGGGTGGAGCCCTACCCCCCAAAAAAATATCTTTATGGGTAACAGCACACGGTATGGAAGGAGAATAATCCAGAAGGGAAAAACTTATGACTCTTTTTCTTTTACAGTGCAGCTTCTTCCATCCTACAAGGTCCTTTCATTCCTCAAACAGAACCAACTGTAGATCTTCTTCAAGATGCCACCACCCCCTTTTCTCCAGTCGGAAATCACGTGGCTGCTTTTAGAATTCCTCTTGTACTTGGGAACTTCTGGGGATTGAAGACAACCATGGGCTCCGAAGGCATCACACACAATAGTGTGCCCTCATTGTAACTGGCCAGGGAGAGGGACAATTGACTACCATGAAGAATGACCTGTGTAGCTGAAACTGAGCACAGAGGCTTCCCGTCCTCAAGATCCTGCTGGGGGGGAAAAAATGGGAGAGATGGGGAAGATCATGTTTTCTCATGTTTTCCTCATTTGGAAACGGTGGGAAAACCTTCCCTGCAAGGCCGAGCTGGCATGATCAGGGAAAAAAATGGTTTTTTTTAACTGATCTGCTACTCTTCCTACAGAATTATTGCAGGATTTTTTGTCTGGTCCATCATTCTACCAACTTATGCACAGATCTTTAGCCAACCGGATATCTAGTTAGGCTTCTTTCAAGCCAGCTCCTTTGGCTTCCGTACAGTTGCAGGCTACAGGACCAGCCTCAGGATGCATTTGCCATGTAGCAGATTTACATTGGGTTATCTAGTTTAATTCTCTTTCTTTAGAGGAAAAATACCCCTCTGGTTCTGTCTTCAGCCAAATTGTTGTTTGTTATATTACACTTTTTTAAAAAAAACAAAACTCCGAAACAAAAACTGTTAACACAAGTATTTGATTCCCCCACCACCACCCCATCCCCTTTAATATTATTGTCTGTCTCCTAGCAAATGGCTCTATTACTGTGTCCTGTTTGGGAGGCTTCCAGAGCATCTGCTGAACACCAGTGGAAAGGAGGCTGCCGGGCTTAAGTGGAATGACAATTAAGTGAAATGTTCACCTTCAGGAAACAGTCCATCTCAGAACACCAATCGCAAGCCGCAAATAGGAGGAGTGTGGCTGTTCAGCCCTGTTGACAGACTTCTTAGGCTATCGAGCGGGTAATTCTAGATGGCGATAATGGATCCAGCGAGCTGATTTTTGCGATCTTATTAATGGGGCCTAAAAAACGAGAGCAAACATTGTAGGCCACATGTTCAGGAGCAGCATTGCTCCGTGGAGAAAGAGCAAATCGCTTCTTTCCTTTACCATATGGCCTGTTGCTGAATTTTCCCAGCAACATCTGGCCGGAAAGAAGTTGGGTCCTGCCAAGCACGAACTGCAACCGTAAATCGTTGCCCAAGAACAATTGGCTTTATTTTATTTTTTTTGCAAACTGAAGAAAAGGCAGGGATTTCTCTTTAATTGCATAGAAAGTGAAATCAGCTTTGACGCTCTGCGTGGGAGGGAGACGAGAAGCAGAAAGTTGTCCTTAGCAAGCCCTTGGTGGTGGTGGAGGAGGAGGAGGAGGGAAAACCCCTGGTCCTCGGCTTGTTTGTCCCAGACCCAGATGATGACTTTACCCTTTTCAAGGCTCGATTGCTCCAAATTGGCAGCCTGCAATATTGATGGAGACATCTGGCATAAGGAAGGCAACATAATTCCATTTGTTTTGAACTGCAGCTATTCGTTCTGCTTAGCAGGGCCAGCTATCCTGTCCCCTTCATTTCCTAGTCATGCATAAAAGAAGACGAGGCCTCCGGAGGAGACAAGAAGCTCGCCTTAAACCAGTGTTTCTCAACCTTGGTAGCTTGAAGATGGGTGGACTTCAACTCCCAGAATCCCCCAGCCAGCAGAATCCCCCATCCCCCAGCCATCTTCAAGCTACCAAGGTTGAGAAACACTGCCTTAAACAGAGCAGGGAATGAAACCCCCACAGCTCTTGGTCAAGACAGCAAGGTCCCTTTTTCAGTCGTAGCTGCCTCTTCCCCCGCCCCTCTTTCCCACCCCAGTGCCACGTTTTTTATTTTATCAAGGCAGGGAATTTAGTGTCATGGCTCTTGTTAGATCCTGGTTCAGAGGAGGAGGAGGAATTGGAACCGGAATCCGAAGGGGAGGACACGGCCGTCTCCCAAACGAGAGTTGAGAGTCCAAGGGCTGAGGACAAGGCAGTCCCAGGGCCATCTGGCAGTGGGCCGGGGCTGGGGGCCGGCTGACCTGATGGGAGGTGAGTCATTTGTGACTGCAATAAGTGAGCCATAAACGGACCCTCCTTAACCTCTGCCTTGCCAGCATGACTTGGGTCAGAAGACTGGGAATGGGACAGCTTGCTGCGGCCAACTCACTGCAGGACAACTCATCGTGGCCAGCTCGCCGCAGGATAACTCATCGTGGCCAAGTCACCGCAGGACAACTCACCGTGGCCAGCTCGCCACAGGATAACTCGCCATGGGATAACACTGCGGGACAATGTAACGATTTTATTCAGTTATTTTAAATAAAATAAAAACTTTTAATTTTTGCCGTTCGCATCTGTCTCTCCTTTTGCATCCTTTCTTTAACGATTCTGTTCCACCATTTCTTTGATATTCGTGTAACTCTTGTCCCGCAGTGTGTTGTCCTGCAGCGAGTTGGCCGTGGCGAATTGTCACAGACCCAAGAAGATCTACCAGGCGGCTAAGAATCCCATCTCTTGCCTTCCATTTTTAGTGGAATGATGGAACCTGCATTTTCACTTTGGGTTTCTACGAGAATTCTGCAGCATCACTTTGTCAGAGCCAGGAATGTTGGAAGCCGCCGTGTATCTGACAGGGCAATTTGCCCTGCCTGGTGTCTTGAGAAACCGACGGTGGCCCTGACTCAGAATTCCTCCTTCCTTTGGGAAGAATATCCCATGGGATATTCTACATGCAAAGCATGCTCCCTTTCCAGAGCTCTTGTCTTTATGGGAATATTAGAATGCTGCCTTAGAGCCCTTCAAACTATTTGCCCAGGTAGCTCGGTGTTATTCACGTGACTTGCAGTAGTAGGTACGAGACGATCGTTACAATGCCTTTTAAACCTGGAGATTGACTCTCACCAATCACAGAGCATGATCTTCCTCCTCCCACCTATTTTGCATTACTTCATGTGAAAATTAGTGCTGCCTTTTAATTTGATTTTTTTCCCTGGATATTCCTGTTTTCAACTTTGGGGTCCTCTTGTTTCATTCATTCATTCATTCATTCATTCATTTATTTATTGCAATTTATATGCCGCCATTCTCCCGAAGGACTCAGGGCAGCTTACAACAACAATCAATAATACAAATCACAAAATAGTAAAACAAGTTAAAAACCCCTTAAAACCATATTTAAAATTATTACAGTTTGTGCAACCCCTAGCAGATCAAGTTATTTGACGGAAGAGCCACGTCTTCAGTTCACAGCGAAAGGAAAGGAGGTCCGGGGCTATCCTGAGCTCCTTGAATATTTTTTTAACACATTAATTGGGGAGAGGAAGGCATCGGGCAATATTAACATGATAGCTTATATATGAAGACCCCATGTTAAGGGGCAGTATACCCCCTGAATATTGGTTGTTTGAAGACAGCTAGGTCATTTTCTTAATAGACGACCTAGAAAGGTCTATGCTGAAAAAAATACAAGGGGCTCAATGAAGGACAGTCTTTAATTTGGGCACATTTGGGAATTGCAGTTACTCTCTCAAGGTTGCCATAGATTTGGAAAAGGGGTTTTATGGTTTTATAGTTATTGTGGGGGGAGTATTCTGGCCACTCCCAAAATACAGTTAACAGCAGGGAAGCCCGTGAGATTGATTTCCACCCATTCCAAGTTTATTTTTTGAATATTTGACGTTCAGGGTTGAACTGGGGTCCACAGTGCTCTCTGAGCTTGTTTTCTTGCAGACCTTTCATTACCAAACTAGATAATGCCATCAAGTGGGTGGGTGGATAAATAGATAGGTGGATAGTTTTAGTCAGTATGGTTTATGCCGAAAGATACCAGATTCTAAGCAGGAGACCCCCAAAATCTAGTTTCTTCTGTAGAGCCGTGTCAGGCACAAGCAACCAGAACTACTTATGAATAGTCTCAAGCAGAAGATTCATTGATAGTTGCTTGTGTTACAAGAATATCTCCAGATTGACTGGATTCCCTTAGGAAGGGAATAAGGCTTGGGCAAGGATTCTGGGGATGCCTGGCCTCTGCTGCAGTTTTCTGCAGTGCAAGGACTCTAAGCTCGGCCCATTCTTAACACCTCCCTCCAGTCTAGCTGGAGATTTCACCAGAAGAAGCCAGCTGGGTGACCTTGGACCCGTCACTCAGCCCAAATCACTGTGGGGTTCTGCAACAAGCCAGATTTTTTTAAAAAGAAAAAAAAAACTTCGTTGCATCATGCACGGATACGCTCGCAGGTAAGAACAAACAAGTGCAGCTAGAATCACACAGCTAAGCAGGACAAACGCTAAGAAAGTCCATCTCTCAGAAAAATGAAATCCTGAACTACGGCTAACACTTTAAAAAAAAAAAAAAATTCTAAGATGCTTTTGGACTCGGAGAGGTCCTTGAAAGCAAAGATGATGCCTGAAACATTTATTCTGCTTTGCACTTTCAAAATGAGAGCTTAACAAGGTTACTGAGGCAGGAAATCCATGACGCCTCGGCCTAGCCTACTGAGTAGCCCCCCATCTCCCCTTCAAATGCGGGACTATAGAAGGAGGGAGCAGAGGTGACATACTTGCTACTATAACTTAAGAACCAGATTTATCTCAAAAATCCTCTTATCTCCTGCAAGCAGAGAATGAAGGGACAGTGGTATCCCCTGGGAAAGGAGGGGGACATGACGTGTGTCCCGAGGGAAAAGAGGAAGCTGAAAGAATAGCAGGGTACCGGTTCGCAACAGGGCCGCATGCGCAGAAACTCTCTGATGATGTCGGGGTCGGTAGGCGGAGCCTCCCGCTGGTTTTACTACCAGTTCTTGCGAATCGGTCTGAACCGGGGGCAACCCACCACTGAGGAGGGAAGCCCACCTTAAGAAGCAAGGAAACCCGATCTCGGTAAGGAGAAGAAAGGAGTGCAAAGGTAATTTATTACAATCCAACTTCTAACAAGGGACAAGAGTTAAAAACGGGCTATTTCTGCCGACTGCCGACTGCCTGCAGTTTGGCAGTTCGAGTCTCACCGGCTCAAAGTTGACTGAGCCTTCCATCCAGGGATGGCCTTCCAAAATTTTAGCAAGGGGTACTCTGCCCAGTTGCTGGGTGGGGGTGGCTATGGGTGTGGCCTAGTCAGCCACTTGCACCACAGGAGGGTGGCTGTCGTTGAGCCTCCGGGAAGGCGAAAATGTCCTCCCCAGGCTCTGGAGGCTGGAAACAGGCCCATTTCCAGCCTTCCTGAACTTCCGGTATGCCTGTTTTTCACCCTCCCCAAGTCTCCGCACGCACCATGCACTTACCTACACCCAAAGCGGGCCGCGTGGGGACTCCTGGGAGAGGTGGGCAGGGCCAGCCAGGAGTGGGATTTGGGGGTTCTCCGAACTGCACAGAATCTTAGCTAAATCTTAGCTTAGCGAACCCCCAGCAGCCCACCCCTGCTTCCATGCTTCTGAGGTGGGTAAAATGAGGATCCAGATTGTTGGGGGCAATAGGCTGACTGTAAACCGCTTAAAGACGGCTGTAAAGCACTGTGAAGCAGTATATAAGTCTAAGTGTTACTGCTATTGCTATTGGGCAGAGGACTGTGGCTGCCTCAGTCAGAAAATCTGCTGGGCCTTAAGAGGTTATTGTGAAGGAAGGTAGAGCTAATCTTGCAAACGGAAGGAATAAGCAAGAATTAAGGGGCATTTGCAGAAACGGAAGCAAGGAAGAGAAACTTAAGCCTACTTTGATTTGTTTAGGACAGTGTTTCTCAACCTTGGCCACTTTAGGAGGGATGGACTTCAACTCCCAGAATTCCCCAGCCAGCAAAGTCCACCCTTCTTAAACTTAACAAAGTTGAGAAACTCTGATTTAGGATAAAGTGAGACAGAAACTGAGCTAGGCACACGGGTGGGATTCAAAAATTTTAGCAACCGGTTCTCTGCCCAGTGAGTGGGCGTGGCCATGGTGGGTGTGGCCTACTCGGCCTCCTGCACCATGGTGAGGGGCGTTTTTACCCTCCCCAGGCTCCAGAGGCTTTTCTTGCGCCTCCATGAGGGCAACAATGGTCATCCCCGGGCTCCGGAGGTCGGAAACGGGTCCATTTCCGGACCTCCAGAACTTCTGGGAGGCCTGTTTTTCGCCCTCCCAGAGCTTCCGTGTGGGCCCTGCACTTACCTGGCATCCAAAATGGGTCGTGTGGAGACTCCTAGGAGGGGAGGGGAGGGGTGGGCGGGGCCAGCCAGTCCTTACAACTACTGGTTCAGTGAATTAGATGTAAAATTAGCATGCAGTTCGCCGGAACCGGTCCTAATCGGCTGAATCCCACCCCTAGCTAGGCAGTCTCTCAGCAATCCCACCACCCACAAGGAATTGTGTTCCCTGACACACCCAGACAGTACCCCCACCAGTTTTAAGGCAAAGCAGCAGAGCTGCCCAGATTACAGCCCCAAAGGAAAACCTGTTTGATTTAAAGTGTCGTTTAATAATCCAAAATGTCTAAGCCGCAAGCCCTGCTTGAAAGCCAAGATCTTTAGATAATGCTTTTAGCTTAATAACTGTCGCTTCTCTTTTGTTGTGTGTTCCGTCTAGGAGCTGGTGTGGGAGGCTCTTTAACATCTATATAAAATAGAAGTCCAGACACCCTGGATTCCCAAATGGCCAAAGAAGCAAACTTTTAAAAGTGATGTTCCAGCACAGAGTTTTTCAACCTTGCTAACTTTAAGAGGCATGGACTTCAATTCCCAGAATTCCTCCGGGAGTCAGGTTGGCAGGGGAATTCTGGGAATTGAAGTCCATGCCTCTAAGCTGCCGAAACATTCCTCTAGCAAGAAAAAAAAAACGTTATCCATCTTCAGATCTGTGCAAATAGCAGAGTTATAGTTTGGTTGGAAGGAACTCTAGAGGTCATCTAGTCCAACGCTCTGCCATTACTATAATATTTCTGGTGGAAGGCTGTCCAGCCTCGATTTAAATCTTTCCAGCGGAGGAATATCCTACATCTCCCAAAACAGCCTGTTTCATTACAGATAGTCCTCGGCTTCTGACCACAATTGAACCCCAAATTTCCGTTGCTAAGCAAGACAGTTGTTAAGTGAGTTTTGCTCCTTTTTATTGACCTTTCTTGTCACAGTTGTTAAGTGAATCACTGGATGGTTGGTAAATTGGTAAGATGGTTGCTAAAGTGAATCTGGCTTCCACATTGAATTTGCTTGTCAGACGGTCACAAAAGCTGATCACACGACTCCAGGACACAGCAACCACAATAAAAACATGCCAGTTGCCAATCATCCAAATTTTGATCACGTGGCCATGGGGGATGCTGCAACAATCACAAGTCACTTTTTCAGTGCCGTTGTAACTTCAAACAGTCCCTAAACAAATGGTTGTAA